GTACTTTGATATTTCCGGCCGCAATTGATATGGTGAAAACAATGTGTGGGGAGGCAGAGGCACAGAAATTCACATCAATAACTTTGTCAGACAAATAATTTATGATATTACTAGCAATCAAGAGGAAACTCTGACTGAAGGACTCAAACTCCCCAGTTTATGCTCTACAAATGGACGTTAGCGAGATGCCCATGCATTGACTTTTGTTTGCTGTCCATGTCGGGGGATGCTATTCACAAGGACATATTGTTCTGTCTCACGATTCCCGAGCATGAAACGGCACAGGGGATGTACAGTGTGCTGCGTGGCTATATTGACGGAAAACTGATTCCATGGGATCGAATGGTAGGCTTTTGAAAAAAACTGGTTGACTTTCTGTGTAATGAAAATTAAATGTGTTTCCTTGCCTATGTAAAAGACATACAGTATTTGCAAGCATGCAGGGGAAATACAAAAACCGAGTGACCGATTCAGATGAAATTATTATTATTGGAGAGAGACTTTCAAAAGCTAACCATGCCCCCTTCCCTCGGCTGTGCATGTTTCTAAGAGAAAACAACATCGTAAGTGTCCCACACGAGTGATGACTGCGCTTGGAAGAGCACTTTGGGACCTACTTCCCAATCCGTTTGACTGTGGCCCTGGCTCAGTTGACATGCCGGTAAGTGTAATCGAACAGCTGATCGAGCTGTCATGTGACCAAATGCATTCACGGGTAATAACCGAGGAGTTTTTGTTCCTGACTCAAAGGGAATACCCTGCGGTTTCCCTCTGTGCATTAATGCCGCGTTCAAAACAACTGGGAACTGGGAACTCGGAAATCTCAGATTACCGACTTCAGTGTGTTCAAGACAACTGGGAACTCGGGAAAAAAACATCTCCGACTAGGAAAAATCTTTTTGAACGGTCATCCAACTCCGAATTCCAACTCGGGAACTCTGGCCTCTATCTAGATTTGACCTCGTATTTTTCAGAGTTCCCAGTTATCTTGATAGCACCATTAGTGCTCTTGTCTGCATTAAAACCAAAAATCGATCCAGCAGAGATGAGGTGCGCACTGTCGACCACGCCCCCTGACTTTGAGAAGCTCTGACGCGACATGCACACCCATCTCATTAGTTTTGGTGAGATAAGATTATGTCAGACTAATTTCCAATTGACTGTCATAGCCCCACATTAAAGGTATGTGATGGTGAGTTGAGAAGACAATCAGAAATAATGTTAGAATGTTTTTCAATTGACTCCCATAGCCCCAAATAAAAAAGTAATGTTAATTACAGAATGTTTTTCACATGGTTGGGGTCCTGAGAATTTTCAGATATCAAAATGGGGTCATGGGCCAAAAAAGTTTGGGAACCCCTGAGCTACACACTCTTTTCACAGCACCTCGATACAGCTACGGCCAGAAGTGATTTTCGTAGCAGGTTAGGAGAGCATTTTCACTAACCCTAACCCTACTCCTTTTCCTAACCTTAACCTAATTCTCCTAACCTGCTATGTTAATTCTCCTAACCTGCTGCGTAAACTCTCCTAATCTGCTAGGAAAAAGTCACTTTCGGTTGTAGCTGCATCTAAGTGGCGTGAAAATAGTGTTTCTCCGCTCCTTACAGTGCATTCAAAGATAAATCAAACTTTTTCAAACTATTGATTAATTGGATTTAGTTCAATCTTAGGTTATAAAATATCAAAAAGTAAAAGATATATATATAAAAAAACTACAAACAGCACAGATTTTCATTATGTATCGTACTATTTATTAGTAGCCTGTACAGGCTGTACATATACTCATCAATAAATACATGACTTGTATCTAACAACAATGGCAATGAATATCGAACAAATTCTAAAGGTTACCACAAAAAGCAAGGTCGTGTTGTTTATGATGATGATGATTCAGGAGTCCTATGAAATGTTCTCTTCATTTTGATTACCAACCCCCCCAACACCCAAACACACACGCACACTTGTTGCAGAATCCTCAGCACGGCCCCCCCCAAACCCTGCCCAGCGTCAGCTTAAAATCAGACACTGGTACAAGGATTGGGAGAGACTGTACTGAGAGAGGGAAAGGGAGAGAGAAAGAAAGAAAAGAAGAAGGGAGAAAATTTGAGGAAAGGCGAGAGAATGGTTGAACACAGACAATGTACAGAGAGAGAGGAGGAAAGTAGAGAGAGAGGGAAAGGGAGAGGATAGTTGAAAGGACATATGTGAGAGTGCAGGGGAGAGGGAGAGAGAAGGAATGGAAAATGGAATGAGAGAGAGAGAGAGGTGTGTACTGCATGACAGACAGGTTTGAAGGAATAATGAAAACACTGCTGATAAGACCGTGCACCATCTGAAATGATAGAAAAACATCTGACCACCTGCAGGTTATATGAGTTACAAACAAAAGTACATAAACAAAGTACATTCAAACAAATACTGAACAGAACATAAAAATAAATGCCACTGCATCGATACGGTAATAAGGTATAATTAACAAAAACATTATGGAGGTCTCTCCTGCCAGCCCATCTCTCTTTCATTAACTCTCTCTCCCTCTCTTTCTGTTGTTTTCTAAAGTCTCTGCATGGACAGTAGTGCTCTTCTTACCGCTTCAAAGCCATTTCATCGCCGTCATTTTGAGCACATTAAGCAGTCCTCTCTCTCTTTCGCTCCTTTCATTTAGCCTGGCACTCATCTTCCTGCCTGCCCAATGCCCTGTTTCGTGCCCTTCTCCCTCGCTACGTCTCCCGCTCCCTCTATCTATCCCCCCGTCCTGCCCTCCCTATCTCCCCCCAAATCACTGTTCCTCTGAGCCAGGACCAATGGGGAGCCAGCCAGCAGGGTGAGGCACTTCCTCTGTGACAGGAAGCTGGGGGGGGGGGGATAATGAGAGAGAGAGAGACTAGAGAGAGAGATAATGAGCGAGAAAATGAAGGAGGGGGTGAAGAGAGAGAGAGATGTCAATGTTGAATATTTACCCTAGAGACACAACTCTCGGTGGATTGTGTTTGTTACCATCATACAGTATAAGGGTAGATGATTATGCTTTTTTGATTACTTTGACTGAACTCACTCTAAAACCTGGTAAGCAGCAGTGCTCTTTTACATCAAGGAAACTCTTCCTGTTCTTTGGAAATGTCCTAAGAAAGTGAATACAAACCGATACAGTGACCCTTGTGAAGTCGAAGAGTGTATGGTTAGAGAGAGAGAGAGAGAGAGAGAGAGAGAGAGAGAGAGAGAGAGAGAGAGAGAGAGAGAGAGAGAGAGAGAGAGAGAGAGAGATGGGAAAAGATAAAGTGATAGAGGGAGGGCCATGTTCAAAGACAGACAGTAGATAAGTGCTCTCTGATAGAAGTTGAGTTGATGGGTTGGGTGGGTTAGGAGGTAGAGACAGTCCATAGGGGATATGATAGTTTGAGCAGCATGTCTTACGTGCAACATCCTCTCGGAATCTCCACACCTCGTTAAATCTGCTCCTAATTACACTTATCTAAACATTGCCACGGAATCCCACAAATAATTTTGTTAGCATATAGGACCTTATATGGGTATGGCTGTGACTGCGTGTTTGTGTTGATAGTCATTATCAAGATTACAAGAACAGTATACGGTATACATATACATATACACAGTGTGTGTGTGTGTATGCACGTTCATGCCTGTGTGTGTATACATGCATGTGTGTGTGCACGTTCATGTCTGTGTGTGCGTGCGTGCGTGCATGCATTTGCAAGTTTGTACGAGTGCGTTTCATGTCCCTGTGAGAATTGGTTTGTCAGTCAGTCAGGGCATTATTTACAGTGGGTGTGGTGATGTGAGTAACAAAAACAGGAAATCCACAGTCACATAGGCAGGAAATGCTGCTGCTCAGTGACAGAGTTAGAAATAAACAAGAGCTAAAACCATAGAATGCACAACCTCCACCAGAAGTCTCTGAGGGGTGGTTCACCAACATAGATCAATACATTACTGAAGATTTGATAAATATTCTCAAATTGAAATTAGCCAAAGTTGTTTTTTGTTCAGAAAGAAAGCTACTTCAGGATTCCTCCCTTTCCAGCCATTATTTCCCTGTTTGTACAGTATATGTGGTGTAAATTCACTTGGATCGATTTATTTAAAAATAAAAGCAATGCACATTCCAACTCTTACATTAATCAAGCTAACCCTATTATTACTTATAAATTACTGTTAAATAACAGGCATTGTTTAGTTTCACATTTAGATTTTTATTCTTGGTTCAAACAGCTTCACAAAAAGGGAATACACTAAAATGATTTGGAGCTTAAAGACACACACATACACAAAATGCAACTACACACATACAAACACTCACTCATGCCTGCACATACACACACGGACCCACGCACACACACACACACAGTGCTAAATGTACAGGTGAAGGAAGGGATTTTTAAAAGGGGTAGGATTGCAAAAGGCAGATTGAAAGAAAGGAATGGAGAGAGAAGGAGGACAAAAATATGGCATCACAGTAACATCCTTATTCACTAGGATTGGTTTTTGATTGTCTTCAACTCTCCTAGGTCATTGGTTACATGAATCCCTGCTCAACTGGCATTGGTTAAATGAAATCCATGCTTGACTATGATTGGTGATTTCATTTCAATGCTTGATTGTCTGTTTGATCTGAACAAACATCAAAAGGATTGAGTGAGTGAATGAGTGAGTGAATCCGCTGGGATCCAGTTCCAGTTCATCATTTGATTGCATTGTGCGCTGAGATCAAGCTTAATTGTAATTAGTAGTCCAGTACCAATACTTGATTGTCATTGGCTGCTTCAAGGCCATCCATGATTGTCATTGGCTGTTCCAGGTCATTGATACTTTTATTGGTCGTTTTTGTCATTATTAGAATGACTGATTGTAATCGCTTTGGATTGTAACGGATTGGGTGTTTGGGTATCTTAGTCTGTCACAGTCACAGTGAATAGGTGGATCTTCAGATACTGGCAGGTTTGGTGGTGGTCTAGTGTCATGCCGTAACTGAGTAATTCTCACTGGAGTCTGGTCCAGTACTGACCTAAGTCCTGCTCACTACCCGACACACCAGGAGAGAGATATCCTGGGAGAGAGACAAAGATAAGTTAGCAAAATGGTACCTAAACTAAATACTAGATCTTCACATGCACACATGCTGCAGAGACTCACCTGTGTTGGAGCTGGCAGAGTGAGGGGGAGGCAGGTGAGGAGAGGGGTAAGAGAGGGAGTCAAACTTCCGGGGAAGTGGGGGAGGAGAGGAGGGGGAGGGAGGGAGCATGCAGGGGTAAGAGGGAGCGGACTGGGGGGGCAACGACTGGAGAGAAAGAGAGAGAGCAAAGAGAAGAGGAGAGAGGAGCGGTAACAGGACATGGAGGAAGAGAAAAGAGAGAAGATTGTTAACCAGCGATAAGACTGATGAGACAGAACAAAGAATCAGTGAAAGTTTCGGTTCGAAATGAAGGACCAATAGCCATGTTAACAATGGACACCATGGGGTTCATAGCACAATAAAAAATGTACATTTGTTGAATTTACCTGCATATTGGAGAAGACTGAGAGAGAGCCGTAGCCTGAGAGAGAGTTGTCACTGCGACTGTGCATCGAGGCTTCATTAAGAAACCCAGAAATATGTTTTAAAATAACATTGTATACAGTAATACACATACACACACACATACATATATATACACACACACAAACATATTGAAAAAAGATGTGAATGGTTTCTTACCTGAGCTGTTGCCATGGTGAGAGTGATAGACACCAGTGTTGAAGGAGGTGCTGAGGGGGGCGTGTGCCTGAGAACAGGAAGTCCCGCCCCCTGACCTCTTCTGATTGCGCAACTTCTCCTCTCTCCTCCATTTGGCTCGCCGATTGGAAAACCACACCTGTCAATCAATCAATCAATCAAACTGTAACCATTCAGATGTGTTTGTGTTGGAATATAACAAATATGTGAAAACTGGTGGTCTCAGACGACTGGTTTGAGAACAGCTCATGTACTACCTTGGTAGCTGTCATACTCTAATCTGGCCACTAGGGGGAGTAAAGGATAAGAATAGCGAGACGGAGGTCTCTTAAATAGACAGACCGAGTTGAACCGTTGGTTACCTGAATGCGAGCCTCTGGAAGGTCGATTTTAGCTGCCAATCTCTCTCTGGCAAAGACATCTGGGTAATGTGTCCGTTCAAACTCTGTGAGGTGGAGAAAAATTGGTCAAGAAGCCCACAATGGTTCACATTAACACACACACACATGCCCATGGCATTAAACTTAACTTTTCCTTCATGTTTATTACTGTAATTTAATTGAATCTCCACAGGCCTCAACTGAAGCCTGGGGCTGGGGTTAAACCTTTCTCCAGCGCGTCAATCTGCTCCTGGGTGAAACTGGTGCGATTCCTCTGGAGCTTCCTCTTCAGCTGGAGGTGATGCTGGGCGTCCTCTACCTCATCCCTCTCTCTTTGCACTCCTTCTCCTCCTCCCACCATCCGCACGCTCACGTCATCCACCACACAGCCATCTAATGGAAAGGGGGAGAAAGATTGTTTCTAGAACAGAAGGATAATTGAAGCGCTTTTCTTGGTGAAATGTGTGTGTGTTTGTGAGTTTGCGTGTGTGTGTGTGTGTTCCCACTGTTACTGTCTGCCTGAGTGTAACAAGCGTTTATGCATTCTCCATGTACATATACGTTTCACTGTTTTGTATTTGTGCACTCTCTGTCACTGTAGGTGTGTGTATCACTTCTGTGTGTGTGTGTGTCCGTGTGTATGTGTGTTTTGGAGCTGTTGGCACACTGTTTCTGCTCAGTCATGTGGAAGATTCTCCAGCTCACCCTAAGCTGACTCCATGAGTCACACACACACAAACACACATACACACACACACACACACACACAAACACACATACACACACACACACCACCCCTGTTTTCTATCTGTACCGTGTTGTGTTGGTTGATGGTACCAGTTGTTTGGCCCAGTCCAGCTGGAGGTGTTCTGTAGATTCAGCATGCTGAGTTTCTCACACATAACACTTCCCCTTCACCTCTGACCTCTTACTTCTCTCCTCCAATCAGAACACAGATCAGAACTACTGGAAGACAGAGGGAGGAGGAGATAAAGAGAGGGAGAAGAAGAGGAGAGAAAGGTAGAGGAAATAAGTGATAGGGGACATACATTTGGAGAGAAAGAGAGACAGACAGACACACACGCGTGTGCATTAGCCTCCCACGGCGACACACGGGGAGTTCATTACAAACACACTCAGTAATTAGGAGCTACATCCTCTCCACTCTGACACTGACTACACACACACGCATGAGAGGAGAGAGTAACACTGTCAGCTACCATTAACCACACAGGCAGCACACAACCCCAGACACTAACTACACTAATGATACACAGCCACAATGCAGGGACCAGAATACAACATTATACACATTATTATACGCACTCTGACTATGGTGCACACACAGACAGAAGGGGAGCGGAAATATATATTACACAACACTAAAGCTGTACTAGTGATACAGGGGAGCAGAAATACACACAACACTGGCTACACCTGTGATACACCACATTACTCTAACCCTAAACCTAACTTCACATTAATATGGTACACTGAAAGGAGGGACAAAAGTACGTACAATAATACACACTGACTACGGATGATAGTGATACCAGTATACAGAGAATTGGTGCAGAAATACTCACAACACTGTAACTATACTCTAATGACACATGATGAAAGAGAAATAGAACAACTAAAAACACAATACACAAATATAGGTACAGTAATGATGGAAGAGACTAACAACTCACAACACTGGACACACATTATCATGTTTGTGGGGCAAAATATGCTCTAGCGCTATACACCTAACTCTACATTAATCAATGAATATGATTGAGACTGGAATACATGGTGGATGAGACAATTAGTATAAATAAATCCTGCCTTGTCCTTTTATTCAAAAGTTGTGAGTGTGCTGTGCATTGACGGACTCCCGACTTTGACTACAACCAGGTATCATAACCAGCACAGAGCCATACCGGTAAAAATTATAAGACACAGGACAGGCAGATTTCATAAATCGTTATTAGCAGACCTTTCGGTCTCTGTCTGTGTCTGTCTCTCTCTCCCCCAACATTGGTGTTGGTTGACAAGTTTAGTGAAAGGACACTCACCTACTCGAGGGAGAGAGGATGCTGATGGTTTTCCAAACTTGCGTTTCTCTAGTCTCTCCACCGCTTACAAGGTTTCTCGCATCCTACTCTTCCTCTCTTTCGTTATACCCTCATCCCTCTCTTCTGACCTCGCTTTTGTTGACTGTGTGTGCAAAGAGAAAGAGAGAGCAGGGAGACGAGCCAGAGTAGAGATGGAGAGAGTTAGACAGAGCGAAAGAGAGGAGGCAAGGGAGGGGGGAGTGGGCCAGAGAGAGAGAAACAAGTCTGCAGGCACTCTGGTCCTCGGAGCGATGGATAGAGAGGGAGAGGGAGAGAGAGGGGGAGAGAGAAGGAGGGGGAGGGAGGGAGAGAGGGATGACACACAGACTCAGTGTCAGTGTCAGGTCTGGACTTAATGCCAGGAAAAGGGGTGATGGAGAGAGAGAGAGAGAGAGAGACAGAGAGAGCGAGAGAGACGAGGGGAAGAAGGAGGGAGGGCTGGTAAAAGTATGGAGAGAACGAAAGAAACGTGGATGAAGGATGAAGGGAGGATGACGATCACCTATATCGATTTTAAAACAAGGCCTAGTAACACTTTATTTGAAGGACGGCTTCTAAACATTATTCCATAGTGTACCCATTTTATGTAAAAGCCATATTATTCATGATCTATATGATTACATGTCCTTGTAATGAATGTTTTTAGACATGCACCGGTATTTACTTGTTAGTAAATATATAACAAATGATATATAAATGGTCTATGAATAACAACCTACTTAATACAGGCTTATAAGCCATTCATAAGAACACCTTAGGTAAAGCTTTAAAACTGAAATGCGTTTGACCTTACAGTGTTCCAAAGGGTTGGACTGTAGAGAGAAACTCTGACCTTTCGGATACAGAGGACAGGGAGAGAGAGACCACTGGCCCAGTTCTGGCTCTTTCGAGAGAAACTGCATACATTTACATGTGCAAATAAGAAAGAAAGGGTTGCATTCTAAGAACACACAGTTACACTTTCACACACAGTACTTTGATAATTTTTTACACACACCAGTGACACCCTCACACACCAACTTGGTCAGTCGCTATCCTTATAGACTACGACGTGAGGCCCCTCCCCACATATACACACCCTACACAGTACAAGCTACCAAATACGCGTGCTACGGCATGTTTGGCTTGGTTTCTCTCTGACTGCACTTTGTCAATCGTGACACTACATTTGCATATTTCATTGGAATAGCGCAGAGAACTAGAGTCCTTGACACTACAAAAATGAGAAGAGAGAATGCATCTACAGTTTGAGAAAACTAATGTTGAGTCCTGGAGGGTAATATATCTGTAATACAATAGAATATAGTGGAGATGTATTGAGGAGTCCCCTTTATCCATTTTAGTCTTCTTCAGTGTCTGCTGGGTTAGAGAGCTCACTATGTTTTACAGTCATAATACAGCACCTTTTGCTTGATATTCTAAAAACTACACTACAAGGAGATAGACTGGATTGGTTGTTTCTCGTAACACAGAAGGTTGGGATTAATTCCATATTAGTTCAGGAAGTGCCTACATTTACTTTCAATGAGGATGAGTTTTCACGTCTTGAATTTGAATTTTCTAATGACCTGAATTGATTGAATTGAAATACAATTGACCCAAACCTTAACAGAAGTGCACAACTACTTCAAGAACAACTACTTCTAGAACACAGAGAGAGAATGGAACAAGGAAGAGCATGTTACTATTATAAAGACTAGAGAAAAAACAAGAGGACTTAAGTATGACTATAAGATTAGAAGAAGAAGAAAGGGGGACAGGGAGGGCACGCGGAAGAGCGAGCGAGAGACAGGGAGAGAGAGATGGGAGGAGGGGGGAGGTGGAGGAGAAGGAGGGTGCCAACATGTTTTATTTCCGGTTGACAAAACTCTGCGCTCTCTCGCTCCCTCCCTCCCTTCTTTCCTTCCCTCTCTCCCGTCGTAACCTCCCTCTCTCTCTGTCATTGTCTCTCTGTCGCTGGCTACAGAGAATGATCTGAGGTAAGAGATAGATGACAGAAAGAAGAAGGGATTTTGTTTTCCAAAAACAATGAAGGAAGAATAGAAGATATCTCTGTAAATGTGTTTTAGATGTTTATACGCATGCTGTCTTTGTGTGAGTGAGTTTATGGGCATACATGTACACTGGATCATGTGTGTATGCCTGTCTGCACAAGTGTGTGCAGGGCAGGCTCCAGGCATAAGCGGTCACTTAGGGCCCCAAATATATATATATATACACTGAACAAAAATATAAACGCAACATGTAAAGTGTTCGTTTCATGAGCTGAAATAAAAGATCCCAGAAATGTTCCATACTCACAAAAAGCTTATTTCTCTCAAATTGTGTGCACAAATTTGTTTACATCCCTGTTAGTGAGCATTTCTCCTTTGCCAAGATAATCCATCCACCTGACATGTGTGGCATATCAAGAAGCTGATTAAACAGCATGATCATTACACAGGTGCACCTTGTGCTGGGGACAATAAAAAGCCACTCTAAAATGTGCAGTTTTGTCATACAACACAATGCCACAGATTTTGAGGGAGCGTGCAATTGGCATGCTGACTGCAGGAATGTCCACCAGAGCTATTGCCAGAGAATTGAATCTTCATTTCTCAACCATAAGCCGCCTCCAACGTCATTTTAGAGAATTTGGCAGTACTCACAACCGGCCTCACAACCGCAGACGACGTGTAACCATGCCAGCCCAGGACCTCCACATCCAGGTTCTTCACTTGCGGGATCAATTTACTGATTTCCTTGTATGAACTGTAACTCAGTAAAATCTTAGAAATTGTTGCATGTTGCATTTATATTTTTGTTCAGTATATACACTACATGACCAAAAGTATGTGGACACCTGCTCGTCGAACATCTAATTTCAAAATCATGGGCAGGAATATGGAGTTGGTCCCTCCTTTGCTGCTATAACAGCCTCCACTCTTCTGGGAAAGCTTTCCACTAGATGTTGGAACATTGCTGCAGGGACTTGATTCCATTTAGCCACAAGAGCATTAGCGTGGTCGGGCACTGATGTTGGGCAATTAGGCCTGGCTCGCAGTCGGCGTTCCAATTCATCCCAAAGGTGTTTGATGGAGTTGAGGTCAGGGCTTTGTGCAGGCAAGTCAAGTTCTTCCACACCGATCTCGACAAACGATTTCTGTATGGACCTCGATTTGTGCACGGGGGAATTGTCATGCTGAAACAGGAAAGGGCCTTCCTCAAACTGTTGCCACAAAGCTGGAAGCACAGAATCGGCCTACCACTTCACGGCTGAGTTGTTGTTGCTCCTAGACGTTTCCACTTCACAATAACAGCACTTACAGTTGACCGGGGCAGCTCTAGTAGGGCAGACATTTTACGAACTGACTTGTTGGTAAGGTGGCATCCTATGACGGTGTCACATTGAAAGTCACTGAGCTCTTCAGTAAGGCCATTCTACTGTCAATGTTTGTCTATGGAGATTGCATGGCGATGTGCTCGATTTTATACACCTGTCAGCAACAGGTGTGGCTGAAATAGCCAAATCCAGTTGAAGGGGTGTCTACATATTTTTGTATAAATAGTGTATATATATTTTATTTTTTTAGGAACTCAGTCGGGGTCTCAATTTACTGTTGAGAGTTAAAATAGTAGAATATACAAGGTGCAAGTTTGAAATTTGGTTGTGCATCAGCTATTTTTATCTTGTCATGTCAGTCATTGACAGTCACTCAATTAGCCATGTCAGCTAACAATTTTTAGATTGGTAAATTAGTCTAGCAAGCTATCTAAACTTGTAGTATTCATGGCCGAATACCGACCGGTCACGCAGGGCACGTGCCCAGGGGCCCTGACCTTAAGGGGGTCCTCGTTGATTTTGTTAATCACTTTTGCCCGTGAGGTGGGGGGGCCCAAAAGGGTAGAGCCGACCCTGAGTGTGTGTACTGTATATGTGTATGCGTGTGTGTATGTGTGTTCCTTGAATATTCGTGCAGCTTTAGGGCACATTTTTTCAGTCTCTTGTTAGTTCATCCCTGTCACCCTCTCTCTCTCGCTCTCTCTCCCTCTCTCTCTTTTTCACTGCTGGGGGGAGGGGGATGAGGTCACCATAGCAACCATGCCGGGACAAATTAATATCAAGTCTTTAAAACAAAACACACAAGCTTACGTGTGCGTGCGGTTGTGTGTCTGTGTCCTTTTCCCTTTCGTGACTCTTTTAACTCTGTGAATTTCCCATAAAAGGGGAGGGGCTACATTGATTATGAAATATTCATTTCTATATCCATCTCTCTCACTTTATGTCAATTTCCCCCACTCAATTCACTCTTCCCCTCCTCTTCCTCGCTTTTGTCTTTCCTTCTTTCCTCGCTCTCTCTTCCTCCTCTCGCCATCTCTTTGCTGTTGTGTGCCCCCAGGCTACAGTGTGGCACGTCCTCCCTCCATCCCTCCCTCTCCCCTCCCCTCTCACTGCCCCTGTCACCTTCAATTGCTCCATGGAACTAGACACACCGCCTTAGGCGAGGGAAGAGAGGAGTGAGAGAGGAGAGGAAAAGAGAAAGAGAGGGAGAGAGAGACGCAAAGGGAAAGAGAGAAGAGAGAATGAAACCGAGCGGAGGGAAAAACAGGCAGACAGGGTATGTGTGAGAGAGGGAGATAGCAAGAGAAAAGAGAAAGAAACAAGAGAAAACGAGTTTGAATTAGAGAGAGAGAGACGAAGAAAGAGCGAGAGAGAAAGACGGAGAGAGAGAGAGAGAGAGAGAGAGAGAGAGAGAGAGAAGAGAGAGAGAGAGAGAGAGAGAGAGAGAGAGAGAGAGAGAGAGAGAGAGAGAGAGAGAGGACATAATAAAAAGGTATGGTTAGAGGAGGGGATGAGAAAGTCTCAACTGTGTTGTTCAGCAGCATCCTGTGTAAAACTATCCAATAACAGCAACACCTGCTGTCAACCATTGTCCTGACTGACGAGTTCAACACCGAGAACTAATGGATTCCTGTTAACTAAGATAGCAAATCGGTTCCATTCTTTCTATTTCTATGAGTTTTAATAACCTTCTTATGAGAAAAACTCAAGAAAGGACAAATGAAGTAAATAACACAATTACGTAAATAATCAAATGAAGAAGGCCTAAATAACACAATTAAGTAGGATCAATTCGTCTGCTGTAACCTCTGTCGACATCATCCAACATATTAGCCCAACACATGATACATTTCTGAGATCCTCAAGAAGTTTCCTAATCACAAAAAATAATAATGTTGATATCATATTCACAGGAGGCATGACACACCCATTTGTGTACACTGAGTCAAAAGCATATTTTTTGTTCGCATTTGGTAGACTGGGACTGCAGGCTACATAAACTGGGACACCATTGTTATAGTCCCAATTGTACCCCAATGACAATTCAATTCAATTGTGTGTGATTAGGAAACATCTGAGAACTTCAGAAATGTGTCATGTACTGGGCTAATATGTTGGATAGATCTCTGAAGAGGTTGCAGAAGACTTAAATGCAGAAAGTGTCCCACTTTTACAGAAATCACTCAAATAGCACTACTAATAATAGTACTAATAACAGTACTACAAGAAAACCTTTACAGGACATAGTACTACAAGAACCAGAGCCCTGCCTAACCTACAGGGGGTCCCTAATGTAAACTGGATCTCTTTCCGCAATTGGAAAAGCCTATAAAACTGTCCCGCTACTCCATGCTGTCCTACTTTAGACGGTTGGTAAAGCGGGACAGCTAAAAAAAAATTACAGAAAATTGAAAGAAAACTTTTGTATGTATCACAATTTGGCACAGTGCATTATTTATGACCGTTTTATAACCTTAACATCAAAATAGAAAAACACTGATGTCGCCGATCTTATCATGTGCTTTGCAGGTGAGCTTCCTGTTTAAAGCTTCGTCTGCCCCCCTGTATGATGTCACACCAATGAAGTGATGTGGTTTTGATCATGTGGTTTGTCTGCAAGGGCTTGACAACAATAGTTATGATTTGCTCTTTTCAGACCAAGAAACAAACGCGTCAGGATTATGCTGTCCCCGTTTATATGATGTCCCACTCTTTCTGAATTCACCTTAAATAACAAAATGAAGTAGGCCTGAATAACACAATTAAGTAAATAACAAAAATTCCAATGACAATTTGGAGAAATTGGCTATTGATTGATTGAATAATAGCCAATTCATATCATATCAAACTCAGTTCATATGACCAAACATTGAAAATAAATTATGCAAAACCTATACAAAATACTTCCTTATCATATAATAAATTAGGAATGAATGAATTATTTTATGGAAGCATTAAAAGTAAAACTGATGTAACTGCCCTGAAAATTACACTGAGTGGCAATAGGCTAAGGTGGCTCTGGCGGGAGGTATGTGGTAGGAAGGAATAATTCGGGAAACAGAAAATTGAGGATTTTGAAGAAAAAAAGATCTGCTGTGGTTTCTAGATTGTTCTGTTCAAAAGGAATCCCACTCTGCCCCCAAGCGTTAGGTTTCCAGAACAACGTAAGCATACATGATTTCTTTAATAAAATAACCCTCTCTGAAATTGTTTTTTCACCCCAATGCTGAGTGCTGACTAACTTCCTTTATATTAAATATCACGTTCGTCTGTCGTTCCAATATTATTATGGACATCATTTTCGGACTTTACAATGGGGAAGGCTACAGTGGTGTGGTTTTCCATCCTCTCTGGTTTCATATGAGTGGGCTAGATACATGTACATTGCATTGGCTTTGAGCAAACAGTGCTGCCTGCCATTCATTGCCGTATGTTTATAAACCTCAGGTGTCCCTTTACATTGCTGATGAAAACTTGGGTAAAAAATCTTTAAATACTATCATATCTTCATGCGCGATCTGGTACGGAGGTTTGCACCACGCGCGTTCGCGTGTCAACGTGGCGCTTCAAAGCCAATCGAAATCAGGCTCGGCCTCCGTTAATCCCATTTCCTCGTTTCTATTGGTTACTTTTCTTGTCAGCGTGTCTGTGAATGGTCGACGGAGCAAGCGTGTCACCGCCTCCATTATTGTAGCACTTAAAGAGGCAGGGAGAGTGCCAACGCGTATCTTTACAAGCCCAGAAAAAACCGTGATTGAGACGTGTTGCTAAAAATTGGTACGTTTTTTATTATTAATGCATGAAAGTGTATGCTCCAGTAAATTGAGTGATTTCTGTTGTTGAAAATAAAAACGTGTACAGTTTATGCCAAGTTGCACTTAAAACTTTCCTGGAGTAGCTTAAACTCATTGTGTATATGTAGGCTACCTAACTGCATCCTTTTTTGCTTAAAAAACTAACAAACTTTAATTCATTTACAGGCATTATTGATGTAAATCATTGTTGTATTCATTATTCAGAAGTGTTAAGACTTAAGACAACAGACATTGACTGAGTTATCCTAATTCAAGTCAGGACTCAAGACAGTAGCCTATAAATAGGGCACAAAAGTTTAACAAACTTTTTTTTTATGCCCATATGTATCACTGTTTGCATTAAATAAAGTTATTGTATAAACCAATAATTTATTATTTTGAGTGAGTCCCATATCATCTGGCAAGTATTATCTCTGTCTATTTGTAGGCTAAGTTCTGTTCAGTCTGCTGTAGCATCTCTCTCTCTTTCTTTCTCCCTTTTTCTTTCTCAGGACAGAAGATGCTGCTGCAGTCACTACTGTCCCTCATTCTCATCCTCGGGGTGGTGGTAGCCGTGCCGGCTAAAGAGAAGCGTGTCCATCGCCATAGTGACCTGAGTGACCACGCCCATGACGACTCCACTGGTTTCCAGTATGACCATGAAGCCTTCCTGGGCAAAGAGGAAGCCAAGACCTTCGACCAGCTGACCCCCGAGGAGAGCAAAGACAAACTTGGGTACATTATTTTACAGAACACCCAGGCAGGCAGTGTCCCAAATGGACATTATGCACTACTTTTGACCAGGCCCCATATTTCATATGTTATGCACTACTTTTGACCCGGGTCCATATTCCCTATGTACAGCAGTACCTTTGAACTGGGCCCATAGGGCTCTGGTCAAAAAGAGTGAACTATGTATGAAACAGGATGCCATTTAGGATGTAGCCCCACTATCACTGCTCTAGGTTAGAAGTTACCCCCAGGTGCATATCTAGGATCAGCTTGCCTTCTCTAAACTCCTACCCTTAACCATTGGGAGGAGAATGCAACTGACCTGAGATCAGTGTCTAGGAACAACTGAATCCTACTCCAATAGACACCCCCTTGTGGTGCATTATTTCATACACTAGTTCTGTATCCCTAGCCACACCCATCTGGCTAAGTCAACGTTACATTTTACATTTTAATCATTTAGCAGATGCTCTTATCGAGAGCGACTTACAGTTAGTGAGTGCATACATTTTTCATACTGGCCCCCCATTACATCCTGAATAGTTTTCATACAGCAAAGCCCCTTAATCTAAATAAATTGTCTGCAAGTAGATTGTTCTTTTATTTTACTTTCAATCCTTTTTCTCTCTTTCTACACATCCATTTCCTGCTCTTCTCCCTCCTGCAGCCACCTACTCCTTTGCACTCTTACGTTTGACTACAGTTATTGTAATTGTGTTTGTTTGAAGACATCTCACCCCCTGCCTCTGTCTTAGCAATGGAATGAATGGTGTTTAAGGTTATGACATACTGTTAACATTGACTTGTTCAATCAATCAATCAAATGTATTTTATAAAGCCCTTTTTACATCAGCAAGTACACAGTAAGATAAAAAAAAAAAATCTCCCTCAGTTTATGTCCACGTTTTCAAAAAACTCTTAAATATCTGCTCCAAATTAAGATTCAACAAAGTCTGCAGAACGATTGGGGTGTCAGCTAATACATGCGACATTGACTTTGAAAAAAAAATATTTTGGTTATTAAAGTAAGTGAAGTGGATTTACACCCAGTAACGGAATTGCAGTAACAGAATTTCATCATGGGTCCCTGATCTGTACTACACAGAAATGCATAATTATGGATATGAATGTCACTCTCTTCAGGGTGATGTATCCTAAAAAGGTATAAATATGCAATAACCTCCTTTGCATATTTGGGTATTATTCTACTATTATTTTAATGAGCTCTGCCCCAAACAAGACCAAATTTGGTTGTAAAATGTTTTACGTTACCCAGCAAGAAAACCAAAAATGTTGCTTAAAAAGAAAGGGGGATCTAACAAAGACTCACTGACAACAACCAAAACGAAACAGGTGGGGTTTTAGGAGGGGTTCTAAAAGACACTCATGGGGGTGTCCACTGAAAATTGCATAGCAACAACAACTGGGACCTAAAAGACACCCACCATGAGCTCCCACTAAATTTGCCCAGTAAGAGGCAAACAAATGAAAAACCCACACCAAACTTCAAGACAGGAAGCAAACCAAAAAGTTAAGCAAAACGAAAACAGGGAAACCTGTAACAAATGTATATACAGTATACCAATTTCTCAAAAATATACTCTTAGCATTCATTTGACACCCAATTTGATATGCTCCTATGAACTTCACGTTGGTGCTCATGGGTCCTTTTACATGGAAATGACCTTATACAGAAACCCAGCCTAAAACCCCAAAGAGCAAGCAATGCAGATGTAGAAGCACAGTGGCTAGGAAAAACTCCCTAGAAAGGCAGGAACCTAGGAAGAAACCCACAGAGGAACCAGGCTCTGAAGGGTGGTCAGTTCGCTTCTGTAGGTAGTAGGCTTAGTTGGCTTGTTCTGTCCCTTTGGCAGGAAGATCGTAGATCGCATCGACACAGACAAGGATGGTTTCGTGAGCCATGGGGAACTGCACCAGTGGATCAAACACAGGCAGAGAAGGTACATCGAGGAGAATGTGCTGAAGCACTGGAAGGAGTACGACCAGAACAAGGATGGGAAGATCGGCTGGGAGGAATACAAGAACACCACCTACGGCTACTACCTGGGTACGACAAGGGAGGATGTGTGTGTGACTGTGTGTGTGTGGACTAGCCTAACTTTGAGGCGAATGAGCGAGGGGGTGGGACATCAAAAGGGTAGTCCCAATTTACCAGGGGTGTACAGTCAGTGTATTATTAGTAGGCTATATGGGTGTTAAAGATTGTTGGAATGATGGGCAGGGTTTGGCACAACCAAGATACTATTTATGTAGGGGCTAATTTGATATAATTACTACGTGATATGAGGAGAGATTGATCATGAGCTACAAAGACAATCCAAAAATGAGATGGGAATGAGAGGGGAGAGCTCAACACGACAGTACAGTAGTGGCTATTCAGCTATGGGATAGTGGTGTGATTTTAGGCACTTACTGTTAATACAAAGGGGTTACCACAATATCCATGTATTTTATCCTTGATACAAAGAAACAAACCTAGGTGGAACACAGAACATGTTAACACAATTTGCCCTTTGGAGTTAAAGTAGAGATAATCTGTAATAGAGAGGGTAAATTAGTGACACATATCACTGTTAAACTCTGATTCAAAAGGTTTTAGTAGGCTAACCTTTGTTTGACTACAGTACACAACCCAAGAGTATTTACACTGACAGTGTAGCTCTGGGCCAGTATGAATAAAGCGTATCAGAGTAGGAGTGATCAGTTTAGCCTATTAGATCATAATAAGTAACATTATATGAACAGGGGGGACCTGATCCTAGATCAGCACTCCTACTCTGTGATGCTTGATCTGTTTTACAAAGCCATGTCTTGACTCTGAGAATGTCCTCCGCTCCATTGCAGATGAGGAGTTCGATGACGTGGATGACAAGTCTAGCTACAAGGCCATGCTGACTAGAGACGAGAGGCGCTTTAGGACAGCTGACCGCGACGGGGACGGCATCGCCACCAAGGACGAGTTCACCTCCTTCCTTCACCCCGAGGAGTACGACCACATGAAGGCCGTTGTCATACAGGTCAGTCAATTGACTGGGATCAGTCACTAGAGTCACAAGATCAATCAAATTCTGGGGAACATCCAGATGGTGCACTTTTTTCTCCAGCCCACTTCTAAACAACTGTCTTTTTTTCTGTTTCGCTTCAGGAAACAGTAGAAGACATTGACAAGAACGGTGATGGAAAGATCACCCTTGACGAATACATTGGTTAGTCTCTCCTTCAACCTACTACCCTTTCCAAACAGAGAATATACAATATGTCATCAACCAAACATAATCTGGTTCTTTATACATTTTATGAGAACAAAAAATGAAATATTTCATTTATTTTATTACCCATCTATGAGTGATATTCTTGGGTCCACAACCAACTGTATATGTTAAATGACAAGTGCTAGTATGCGTACACAAAGAGAAGATAACCTAGAGATGCACGGTAGGCATGATTTTGAAAGTGATTTTCTCCCCAGTGTATGGACCAGTGGTTTTCAAACCTCTCCTCGGGGACCCTCAGTCGTTTCACAATTTTGTTGTAGCCCTGAACTAGCTCATAACCCCTGGAATAGACTTTAGAATTACAACACCTTCTGTATAAGCTGTAACCTGTTCTCTCCACCACAGGGGACATGTTCACACCTGAGAACGGAGAGAGTGAACCAGACTGGGTGCTGACGGAGAAAAAACACTTCACAGAGTTCAGAGACACCAACAAGGTACACTAGTCTGCTGCTACTGGATCACCTTAACATTGACAACATTCTCTCCTTCTACATTACTATTTAAGTCAGTACACTTACAGTACCCTACCCCTCAGACCAGCCATGTCAATACTTACACACACACCCCTCTCTCTGTGGACATACTAAGTTAACAGGTTTGTGTCTTGTGTTGTCAGGATGGTTTGTAACAGCTCTCTATGCGTGTTGTGTTGTCAGGATGGTTTCCTGGATAACCATGAGGTAGCTCAGTGGATCCTGCCAGGAGATATTGACTATACTGACAATGAGGCTAAGCACCTCATCCACGAGACAGACACAGACAAGGTACGCATCTCCCCAGTCCCACTGCCTGAACTCACCCTTACCCCAAACCAAAAGCTCCATACCTGTACACCCCTTACAACTAATGTTTCTTAACCCACTTCCACACACAATCTTATCCCCTCCAAAGCACCCCTAGCTAGGTGTCCTCTTCACCCCTCCCCCATCCCTGTACTCCTCTAAAACTCACACCTCCACCACCGGTGTACCCCTTTCTACCCTCACCCCACATCAAATACCCCCATACCTACAACTATTGTGCAGTGCACACCCCCACCCGTTCACGCCCCTTCCAACTCACCCCGTAGCATCTCCCCTTCCTCTCTGACCTCCTTACACCTTCCCCCAACCTCACACCTTGACTCCTGTTACAACTGACCACTGTATTTGGTGACATGTGCAATGCGTAGGCCTATCCTACATTACAGGGAGTAAATATACCATGGTGTCTTGTGGTAATAATACAATAAGTCTCCTAGCTGTTTAAATTAGGAACTTTTAAAAATAGTAGCATTTATGCTAAAAACAAAACAGATGTTACATCCCAAATGGCAACCTCTTCCCTGTATAGTGCACTACTTCAGCCCTATTGGCCCTGTTCAAAAGTAGTGCACTATGGGGAATAGGGTGCCATTTGCGACACTACAGAGACTTATATGAGCCTGGGTGCAGATTCAGGGCTCACTCTCACAACTCACATCACACACTGTCAGCCTGAACACAGCTAATAATCAACATAATGGAATTAATTGGGGGTGTTAATTATAATTAATCTCTTTCTCTCCCTCTGTCCTTCATTCACGCTTTTCTCACTGTTATCTATCCCTTTTTCGCCCTCATTTTCATTCCACTCTCCCTCTTTTTCGTCCTTCTCTCTTTCAATCATGACCGCAATGAATGGTGATGGGCTGGACCTGAAATTTGCCTCCTCTGCGATTGGACGAAACAGGATGACAAAATAACCAAGAAGGAGATTCTGGCCAATTGGAACATGTTTGTGGGGAGCCAGGCGACCAATTATGGAGAGGATCTCACCAGGCGACATGACGAGCTTTGATGAAGTCAAGCGAAGGCATGGGGAGGAGTTAAGGGCTCCGTTTGCATCGCTCTCTGCGTAGTTCCATGTACATTGTGCAGCTGAATTTTTGGAACGGACCGTATACGTACTCTGTTTGCGTAGAGCCTTTAAGGGGAGGGAGGGATTTTCAAAATACATATTGGGGTTTTGTATTGTGAAAGGGCATACACTTCATGGAGAATACTGTTACGGAGCAGGGTAGGGGGAAGTGCTGAGGGGGGAAAAGGTCACGGGTCATATTTATACTGTTGAACACACATTTCTATGGGAGGTAACGGGAGCATGGCAATAAGTGTTTACACACGCAGATACATAGCCACAACCTCTCACAGAGAGACTCTAACCGAACACACAATCATGCTCAAGTGTGAACAAAGACAGACACTCCACAAGTCAAGCTTATTTTTACTGCACCATATATAGAATAAATATACACTTGGTTTACACAGGGTGGGAAGGGGGGGGGGGGGGGAGGCAGGAGACAATTGAATGACACTTTTGTGGTGAAACATTTATCTCTGAATTTAAAATAAAGCCATGTTGGTTTTTCTACAAAAAGACAGTTTTATTTTTCTTCATGACATAGCATTAACTACTGTCCTAAGCAACTTAATTACTCAAATGTAATTTGTTTCCTGGTGCTTGAACAGTTTACCACACCACCTCCACCTGCTAAATGGTGAATTGTCTAATGTTAGTTTGCCCAGATTCCTTTCTCCATTTCTCTCAATCTTTATCTTCTACTTCCCTTATCCTCCATCCCCCTCCTTCTCTCTTAGGATGGGCGTCTCTCTCTCTCGGAGGTCATGGACAAGGTCGACTTCCTGAAGTCAAGCACGCTGACTGACTATGGAGGTATGTCGGTGGATGAGGGTCACGAAGAACTCTGACCTCTGTGACCTCCTTGACCCCAACACTCAGCCAATAAAACACAGACTGTTTGTCTAGGAGTCAATTTAATTTTTTATTAAATACGGTTGCTCATTAAATTGGTGTAGGTTTGTTTTTTGCCAGAAAGAAATAAAAAGGAAATTTCTAAGGGCTCTACAGTACGACCATTTTACTCACATATGCACCTAAATACTTTGCTGTGCAGCCAGGAATTTTAATTTAGGAGCACCAGTGCACCTAGAAAAATTAAGGATTCTAGCTTTAACACCAAATATTTTACCTTCTAAATGTCTTTGTGTGCACCTACATGTTTCAACTTAAGCACACACGTGCTCCTTGTAAAAGAGGTCAGCGTAGAGCCCTGTTTTGTAAGTGTGTGTGTAACAAAGCTTAAAAATATCAGTTGGAATTCTCAGACTCCATACAAGAACCGACAACCATATGTACAAATAATCTCAAGTATACACCTTTATCATGTTGACCATCGTCTCTGAACCATCACACCATCATTACGGGTCGAGCCTCTTTAGCTTTCAGACCCACTCCAGAGCCTGCAAACCCAGTTCCACCCTAGGAAGGAATCAAATAGAAAATATTATATCAGCATTAACATCAGCCGGTCTTCAAATACCCTTACAAACCAAGTACCCTGCTATGTCTCGCACGTACATACTCTTTCAAACTCGAGAACACACAAACAGACTCACTTGCTTGATCACACACGCTCTAACACTCACACACAAACGCTCACCCTCTGCAGTGGGATGATGTCCTTCTCTGTGAGTTTGTCTCCGGTAATCGGGTCCGTCATGTCCTTCCTGATCAGCCTCTCCACACACTCCTGAGTCACCACCGCCCCACTGAGAGGAGGGAGAGAAAGGAGGAGGGAGAGAGAAAGAGGGGTGAGAGAGAAAGAGAGATGAAGAAACAAGGTAGTAGGGGTGGCTTGATATAGAGAGAGTCCAGTAAATAAAGTAACTGAAGAGGGGTTTACTTACGAGGGTTTGAGAACGGAGCAGGGGACACTGTTACCCAGAGTGTCTTTAGTCACGGCACACAGGTACCTCTCCTGGAAACAACATTACACAAGCTATTAATCCAATGAGTCCCATGAGTAATGCCAACACTTTTTTGGATTTCTGACCCCTTTTAAACCTTGTGTGTTTGAGCTACAGACTTCTCGGTATTGTATTTGTCCATTTCTTCTGCATCTGAAGATAGTGGCTTGCGAAAGTATTCACCCCCTTGGCATTTTTCCTATTTTGTTGCCTTACAACCTGGAATTAAAATGGATTTTTTGGGGGGGGTTTGTATCATTTGATTTACACAACATTGTGAAACAAACAAGAAACAAGACAAAAAACAGAACTTGAGCATGCATAACTACTCACCCCCCCCAAACTCAATACTTTGTAGAGCCACCTTTTGCAGTAATTACAGCTGCAAGTCTCTTGGGGTATGTCTCTATAAGCTTGGCACATCTAGCCACTGGGATTTTTGCCCATTCTTCAAGGCAAAACTGGCCCAGCTCCTTCAATTGGATGGGTCTTTAAGTCATACCACAGATTATCAATTGTATTGAGGTCTGGGCTTTGACTAGGCCATTCCAAGACATTTAAAATGTTTCACCTTAAACCACTCGAGCATTGCATCAGCAGTATGCTTAGGGTCATTGTCCTGCTGGAAGGTGAACCTCCGTCCCAGTCTCAAATCTCTGGAAGACTGAAACAGGTTTCCCTCATGAATTTCCCTGTATTTAGCACCATCCATCATTCCTTCAATTCTGACCAGTTTCCCAGTCCCTGCCGATGGAAAAACATTCCCACAGCATGATGCTGCCACCACCAGGCTTCACTGTCGGGATGGTGTTCTCGGGGTGATGAGAGGTGTTGGGTTTGCGGAGACATGGCGTTTTTCTTGATGGCCAAAATGCTCAATTTTAGTCTCATCTGACCAGAGTACTTTCTTCCATATGTTTGGGGAGTCTCCCACATGCCTTTTGTCAAACACCAAACGTGTTTGCTTATTTTTTTTCTTTAAGCAATGGCTTTTTTCTGGCCACTCTTCCGTAAAGCCCAGCTCTGTGGAGTGTACGGCTTAAAGTGGTCCTATGGACAGAAACTCCAATCTCCGCTGTGGAGCTTTGCAGCTCCTTCAGGGTTATCTTTGGTCTCTTTGTTGCCTCTGATTAATGCCCTCCTTGCCTGGTCTGTGTGTTTTGGTGGGCGGCCCTCTCTTGGCAGGTTTGTTGTGGTGCCATTTTCTTTCCATTTTTTAATAATGGATTTTTAAAAATGGTGCTCCTAGGGATGTTCAAAGTTTCTGATAAAAAAAAGTATAACCCAACCCTGATCTGTATTTTTTTCATTCCACTTCACCAATTTGGACTATTTTGTGTATGTCCATTACATGAAATCCAAATAAAAATCAATTTTAAATTACAGTTTGTAATGCAACAAAATAGGAAAAATGCCAAGGGGGATGAATACTTTTGGCAGGCACTGTACCAACGATTAGTCTGCGTGATTAACGGGGGCTGAGCTAGAGCGGTGTATGTGAGAGAAGGGCGGATCCAGATGAGGCCCGGGTCTTTTTACAAAAATGTCTATAGTCAGAATGGTTTGAGCTACACACCATTTATGAAAAGCTGAGACTCACACGAACCTGTAACATGCTCTAGGACGCTCACAAGCTACACAACAGTTGTTAGAAGGTAAGTGGTTCTTCTACATAGATCATAGGGAATCATATAGTTTCTATCACAAACTCCAAACAGTAGTCACTGACTAGTTGGACATTTATTTCCCAGTGAGCAAAACATTTCTGTACTTGTAAATTCACTTTTCGCACATTTTTACTTTGGCTGTCCTTTTTTTTAGACATTCATCAATAAAACTCATGAATGCAACTATTTATGTAAAATTGTTTTGTGTTCTACTTGTAGCCCTGGTTGTCCTGAAAATAAATGGTAAAACACTTCATTGTGAGGCTAAATATAAGGGCTGGACATAAATGAAAGTCAGATAAATGAAAAGCCGATTTTTGCTGGGGTCTCGGGACTGATAGTGTACACGTTATTATCTCTATTTTGCACACCTGTCCAACAAACACAAAATGTGAGAAAAGAGCAAGAAAGAGTATAAAGGAATGAGAGAGAGTGAGAGAGATATGGCGTAAGAGATAATGTGTAACAGTGTGCAGAGGTTGTGGTGTGGTCAGGCACTGACCTGGCGTGCGAGCAGGGCCACCCGGTCCAGACTGGGGTCCAGAGGAGTGAAGTGCACGTTGATCAGCTCGTTCATCTTCAGAGGCCGGCCAGACATGGGACACACCACCGTCTTACTCTGAGGGAGAGGGGAAGAGAGCGAGATGATTGAATTTGAAATCCCCTTTATTGGGTCAATAATTTGCTTTGCACAAACCCATTGAAGTAGCAAACAACTAAAATGTGTGTTGGGTGTATGGTGGAGCGGGAGAAGGAAAGACTGATAGATCAAACACCTGGGGACAAGCTGACCTCAGAGAGATAACAGCTAATGGAGATATGGAGAGCGAGAGAAAGAGAGGACAGACAGGGAGCGCAATGACGTCGACATTTGGACAAGAAACCCAACAAGCTCTTGGCAGTGGAAGAGTCAACAATTGCTTCCCTAGGACACAAAGGTCAGGTCCTCAGTAAAGGAAAACAAGTGACCAGACAGCAGTGTTGAACAAGAGAAACAGGGAGAGAGAAAGAGAGAAAATGTGTGATAAGCTAACACTTTAGAACTTTCACTCACAGGTTTCTTGAGTATGGTGGGTTTGGCCTCTGGGGTGAGACTGGGGATCCAGAAGCTGGGCAGGGACTGGGAGGAGCTGGTGCCGGCGGCAGGAGCAGAGGAGTCGGCTTTGGATGTACTGGCTGATGCACCCGCAACACTCTGGCTGTCTGACTCTTTGGCCTGGCCTGAAGAGATAGGTTAGTTTAACTCAATCTACTGTTCGCTGTCCTACGTCCCTCCCAAGCTGGTGGACACACACACTTACCAGAGGTAAAGGGGTTGATGGGTTTGGACACGATGCTGTTCTCCCTGGTCTTGAACCTCTCTGCTATCCCCCTCTCCTCCGATTTAGACTCCAGACGACTGTCACTCTTCTGAGTCTGCTTCTGCTTCTCGTACGCCTAAGACGGACAGAGAGAGGGGTTAGATGAAGACAGAGACAATTCATAAGGCCAAGACAAATATGATTATTCAGGTTCTGAATCGTTCAGTGTGGTCTTTCTCTGACATATAATTAACATGATATAAAAAAGTAGGATTTTGAAACCTAATACATCCGATAATAAGCACCGAGCTCTGTTGACATAGCGGTACAGGTTTCTTGAAACAACTTTTGAGGACTTTAGTGGTCGTCTTCAAAGTTTTTACCGCGGGTCGCAAGAAGCTAAATTAACATGACAAGCCTAATTAAATGTAAAAGGCTTTGAAAATAAACTTGGTATACACTCAGTGCTCCATTAACATTTCACAGAGATACTTGTTTTTGTGAGAAATCTTTAAAAAAGAACAGGAATTTCTAATTAATATGAAATGTGTATACTAAAATACTACGTCATGTCTCAAAATCGATACCTTTATATAGTTTTATATCCTGCGGATTCGATAACAAATATGACGAGTTCAACTGGAAAGTGTCAGGTAGCCAGTAGCCTTAATTCTGGCACAGAATCCAGCCTTGCTGAAGCGATGCAATTTTCCTGATTTTTTTACCACTTTTTTCTCTGGCCTCCATTGATTAACATACCCATTGGTCAAAATATGCTTTTTTTATTGGCCACCCTATTACTAGCCTAGGTGTTTTCTGTAGTATTTATTTTTATTTAACTAGGCAAGCCAGTTAAGAACAGTTGTGATACAGCCCGGGCGCTGCGCCACTCGGTCCCCCAAATAGGACCATAGGAAAGCCAGTTACCTTCATTTTCTTGGCGATCTCGGTCTTCTGGTGGAGTATGTACTCCAGAATGGCCTGTTTTTCATACAAGTACCCATCTGGACTGGAGATACAACATTAACACCGCTTTTTACGACACACACAAACTGGTTTTAGCTAGTTAAACAACAATTATGTGTGTGTGTTTGTGTGAGACAAGGGGGATTGCAGTTTACGTTACAACGGGGTCCCTGCAGGTCTGGAGAGAAAGGGAACAGCAGTCGAAGTCCTTGATGGCATCCTTTCCCAAACGCACACTTTGCGTCCCATAACCCGATGCCGCTATAAGAGGGAGCAGATGACGCTTAGCTAGCATACATAGCTAGCTAACGTTAACCAACGTTGCAAAGACTCACCAGTGTCCTTCCTTTTCTCGTGGTAGGTGTAAACGGCTCCTGCCGTACAATTTTTCCCATGCCGAGTCATTGTTCGCTAGGGGTGAAAAAAACTTTAGAAAGACTAGCTAACTAACGTTAGTTAAACAACTTGCTAACTAGCAGACAAAATGTAGCTAAACATGGAAGGCTAGCTAACGCTAACCAACGCCATCTGGTCCCACGACATTAGGCTAGCAGCAAGCTTTGATAGTGAAACAAAATAACCCTCCTTACCTCCTTGCAAAATGGAACTGAGTAGTAGCTGAATCTAAATAATAAATAAAATAGCTTCTTTATAAACAATATGGATGTGTTAAATACTGTGTCCGTTTCTAGCGAAGAAAAAAACAAATCCTCAGGAAATTAGATGTCGGTAAATCTTCTTCTTCTGTGGGTTTTATGGCGGACCACAACCCAAAAATGTGTATTGCCGCCACCAACTGGACGGGTTGAAAAAAAAAGTGGTAAAAAAATAAAATCCATGCGTGATAGGGAAACGAACCTAATCCACCCAAATAAAAATAGTAAATTGACAAAAACAAAACTCCCACTTCTTCCTTCTTTCAAATCTCCATATCTCCCTTCTCAGGCTTGAGAAGGTGGTACGGCTTGTGACAATATTCCATGTAACTCCTCCACCGAGAAGTCTTTCAGTCCCAGGAACCGCTCCGCCGCATCCACAATAATATATATATTTCCAGGACCTTCTCTCCACCTTGGCAGTGCCATTAATCACCATAGCTATAAAGGCCACCTTCTTTAACTTTAAAATATCAGGGTCCTGCTGGTGAAAGGCAACCCCTGCAGTGAAGGCCTATCCACCACCATGGACTCTTCAGGAGCACCATTCAAACCCTCAACCCTTTCAACAGCTGCTGCATAAGAAATGCTCTGGACAACCCTAACTTTGGCCACCTCATTTTCTTTCACCCTTGTCGGGCATTCAAAAGACATGGCTTCATGGTTCCCACCACAATTGCGACATGCAGTGGTGGATAAAGTACCCAATTGTCATACTTCAGTAAAAGTAAAGATACCTTAATAGAAAATGACTCAGGTACATTTTTACAATTTAGTCATTTAGCAGACGCTCTTATCCAGAGCGACTTATGTGAGCAATTAGGGTTAAGTGCCTTGCTCAAGGGCACATCGACAGATTATTCACCTAGTCGGCTCGGGGATTAGAACCAGCGACCTTTCGGTTACTGGCACAACGCTCTTAACCACTAAGCTACCTACAAGTGAAAGTCACCCAGTTTAATACTACTTGAATAAAAGTCTAAAAGTATTTGGTTTTAAATATACTTAAGTATCAAAAGAAAGTAAAAGTATCAATCATTTCAAATAGCTTATATTAAGCAAACCTAACGGCACAATTTTCTTGTTTTTTTACATTTACGGATGGCCAGGGGCACACTACAACACGCAGACATAATTTACAAAGGAAGCATTTGTGTTTAGTGAGTCCTCCAGATCAGAGGGATGACCAGGGATTTTCTCTTGATAAGTGCTTGAGTTGGACCATTTTCCTGTCCTGCTAAGCTTTCAAAATGTAACGAGTACTTTTGGGTGTCAGGGATAATGTATGGAGTAAAAAGTACATTATTTTCTTTAGGAATGTAGTGAAGTAAAAGTAGTCAATTGTAAATAGTAAAGTACAGATACCCCCAAAAAATACTTAAGTAAAAATATTTTAAAGTTCTACTTAAGTACTTTACACCACTGGCAACATGTCACATTTTCAACACTTTTATAACACATATGATCTTTTCCACAACTTGGACATCTCGGTTTCTCCCACTTGAAACATGACCAACAGCTTTACAATGATCACACTGCATTGGTCTTGGGATAAATGCTCTGACTCTGTAGTTTATATACATTACATTTTAGTAATTTAGCAGACGCTCTTATCCAGAGCGACTTACAGTTAGTGAATACAAATTTTTTTATACTGGCCCCCGTGGGAATCGAACCCACAACCCTGGCATTGCAAACGCCATGCTCTATCAACTGAGCTACATCCCTGCCGGCCATTCCCTCCCCTACCCTGGACGACGCTGGGCCAATTGTGCGCCGCCCATGAGTCTCCCGGTCGCGGCCGGCTGCGACCGGGAGTGGCACAGTTAGCACTGCGATGCAGTGCCTTAGACCACGGCCACTTTACTTAGGGAGAGTCAATAATATATATCATTATAATATTATTTAAGAACAACAAACTCTTAACATTTTTAATCATACTCACACAATTATCCGACTGCATCAATCACTGTGAGAGATTTATATTTTAAACTTGATGGGATGACATAACTGATTATCGCATTCTTGCATGGCTATGTAGTTGACACCTGGCAGCTGATTGATTGAAGAGCTGTTAGGTAAGGAATGGATTTGGGTCTCCGATCTGGAATATTAGGTTCTTTGTGATCTGACCTTCCTTGGACGTGATGGGTACTAAGTAGCTGGCTCTTCACTATAAGTTGTTATGATAACCGTTGCTGGTAACAAAGAGGCTGGCACAGGGGTGCAATCACGGATAGCTGAGTAAGTCTAAACCACGCCAGTCTTTGCTCTGATCACGAGAGGGGGAATCTCTCTTCAGATATTTAACATCTAGACTTTAATCTCGATGCCAGGTTTTCGAGACGCAAACAGAATTTTATTAAAATACCTTAGAGTCGGTGCCCTGTTCAGAGAAGACACACACATCAGGAATTTTTCATCTCTTCAAACTTCCACGAGACGCCAGATTTACCCCTATGCCCTGTTCGAAGAGACCCCGACTCAACTTATCACAACGGTGAGACGTAACTTCTGACCCGCAGAAGTACACAAATCAAAACCGCTCCTCTTGATTCCTCACAGCCTTCACTTTGGATAGTCAAAGGATTCTTCCAAGATTGGTATTTCGATCAGCTGCTCCTCATTAACAAACCGTACTCCTACAAGGTACGAAGGGACATTCTCAGCACTGTACACTACTTTGCTCCGTTTTCCATTCTTTTGGACAATACTCAAATTCTCCTTGATTCTACCACCATTAGATTCACAATCCACTTCAGGTTCCGCCATCTTTCCTCAAATTGGTATTTCAGTCACAATTGTTAGACTCTTCTTCTTATTCTTTAAGAGTTGATTGGTGGATCGCATCCAATGTTTTTGTGTATACACCGCCACCTACTGTACTGGTGTGTGTGAGGGCATTCACAGCCTACATACATTAAATTATTGATACGGTAATACAAAATTGGGAAAAAGGAAAATTGCCAGCCAACTATTAACCCTCTCTAAAAAAATACCACCCTCATTCCACTATTTAACCCCATCTAGTCCTACTCCAGACCAACGGTCTGAGAGGACATAACACTACCACTCAACACCCCCCTGCAACTGTTCTGCAGTAAATCCTCGCAATCCCAAGTACTTCTCTGACGCTGCCACCACAACCTCTATTTTCTGTGACTTCCGATCCATTTCTGCAGTACAATTGATAACCATGGCTATGAATGCTAAAAAGTAAAAAGCCCACCTTACTGAAGCACATATTATTTCTCTTTCCCTCTCATACTGCCCACACTGTATCAGGACAGTCGTGGTCAAACGTTTTGAGAATGACACAAATATTCATTTTCACAGTCTGCTGCCTCTGTTTTTATGATGGTAATTTGCATATACTCCAGAATGTTATGAAGAGTGATCAGATGAATTGCAATTAATTGCAAAATCCCTCTTTGCCATGAAAATGTACTTAATCCCCAAAAAACTTTTCCACTGCATTTCAGCCCACCCACAAAAGGACCAGCTGACAAGGCTGGAGATCACTCTGTCATGCTGATTGAGTTAGAATAACAGACTTGAAGCTTTAAAAGGAGGGTGGTGCTTGAAATCATTGTTCTTCCTCTGTTAACCATGGTTACCTGCAGGAAACGTGTGCCGTCATTATTGCTTTGCACAAAAAGGGCTTCACAGGCAAGGATATTAATGCTAGCAAGATTGCAACCAAATCAACAGAAAGGACACATGGAAATTAATTTGCTTAGGTATTAATCACGCAAACACATTTCTTTCTTATTGTGGCACAGCGTCAGTGAGATTCGAACCTATGATCTTCTGTTCTTTATCCATGGAATTAGTCCACTGCACCACCAGTACGGAGCTCAAACAAAGCTTCTTCTAGTCAAATGTGCCCCATTTCAAAGGAAACAAACACTCATTAAGTTCAGGTGTGGCCAATTAGTGGGCACGGCCAACAAACCTTAACACAGTTAACACGAAAGAAGATAGAGTTTTATTGATGCTGAGAACGGAATGTATATATTTTAAAATAACATTCTTAGATCTTTCTTTGAACATTACTAATGTTTCCTTGTGTTTTTTTATGGAACGTTTTCTTCAGGTTCTGAGAACAAGACTTTAAGAAATAAAACCATGAGGAAACCTGCAGAAAACATTATGCTGAAGTACCAAAATTCCCACAGAAAACGTTGTTTCTTAACGTTCTCTGAACTATTTGAGAATATTCCCAATGTCAAACCAGTTGGAGAACGTTCATACAACATGACCAAAAATGTAATTAAATGTAACCATGTTTGAACTTTTAGGAAACGTTTTGTTAAATTATTGAAATACCAAGAAAATAACATTATTTTGTCAAGTTCCTGAAATGCACTTAGAATGTTCCAAAGCCAAGCAACTATCCTGCACCATTCCCAGAACGTTGTATGCAAAATAACCATAGGACAACCACGCTCTAAGAAACAATATGGTTCTCAGAATGTTATGTGCTAGCTGGGTACTCTGTCTGGCTTGACTTCCTCAACCCACTGCAAGGCCAACAGTATGGCCATCAGCTCCACTGTGTATACATCCAGGTGGTCTATTATACGTGTCCTGACTGCCACCCCACATTCCTGCACTACAAATGCTGACCCAGTACGTCCTGTCCTTGGGTCTTTTGAACCATCTGTGTAAATGGGCACAAAACCATGTCTCTCTAACACTTCTAGATTAACTACTGGAGGCGGAAGTAGCCATGGTGGGTTCAAAAGAATAGCCGCATGGGGCTGAATCCCCTTCCATACAGTTCCATCTCCCTTGCCTGGGTATTACCCACCCACCCAAAGCTCGTGTTCTGTTCCCATCATGCCTGTAGCACCCCTTTCACAGGTTGAGACACCCCATATCCCTGTAGGTTGACCCAATAGTTCATTGCCAGCTGCTATATCCTAAGCCGCAACGGCATCTCCCCACTCTCCACCTGTAATGCGGACACCGGAGAGGTCCGAAACGCCCCACTACATATTCGGAGTCCTTTCGCCTGTATGACATCTAGTCTTTCCAGTGTGGTCCGGGCTGCCAAACCATATGCTACACTTCCATAGTCT